GGCACATATTCTTTTGTAACAATGGAATACATGCATTTGGCCCATATCGGAATGAATGGTTCCCAAAAGTGATGAGTGTTCTAACCACGCACTTTGAACCTTAGCTTAAGTACAACTTTCACAGAATTTCAAACGATTCTGGTCTTGAAAGTGATATAAAGATAACATATAGAAATTTATCTTCAAAAAATTAATTTAATCTATTTACAAACTATTTACATTCTCCATCACAATACTATATCTAATCAGATCCTTGATGTGACTGCCTCTTCGGAAATCACATCCACCTTTTTAATTGCCCACTACAGACTATCACATCACTGCAGCCCGCGATACAGAGGAAGCCTACTCGAACCCACGGGAGGAAATCACCTGTACAAATCGCGCGCTCGGTCTTTCTTGTCCAGAATCCTTACTTCATGAAACCTCTGCTCCTGCAAGGGCCGCGTGGCCTGTGTGATCCAGGGGTTTGTCATGGTACTCCGAGTGTCCGCTCGAACTCCGGCGACTGTTATTTTTTCTGCACTGCTGTTGATTGTGACGCCAACCGTAGCGGGGCAGCAGGAGCAGGGCCGCTGAGCCTGCGACGGGAACCTTTCCAGGCTGAACTCAACCTTGGTCTTTGTTGATTTTTTCGGAGATCGTATGTTTTTGCCCCAACCATGATGCCTTTAAGAATTTCTTTTCATTCTTTCGCTCGCATCGTGCGGAAAGCGTCTTCTCTCTTTATTTGTTTTGTTTTCAGCATAAATATTCGACATTTATTTACTGACTACAGACTCTCTGGAATATGAAGTTAAGTTCGTAGTATTCCAAGCCAAGCTGGTCCGATGATAGATTACAGGTGTCCTGCAAGTGAGAAAAGTAATTGTTAAAAAATGTTCAATACTACATGATGTCAAAGAAATAGTTTTACGACTTTCAAATACAGGTAAATGTGTGCACGCGCGCGTTTGTAAATCATATGTAAATCATACTTTTCGAGTCGACGCTAAATACTGACCTCCTCTACATCTTTCGGTATCCGGAACTTGTACAACACTTGGTGCCACATGCCGACGTTCTTCAGCGTGACGTAGTAGGAACCCGAGGCCCCGTCGCCAACGCCCTCGACGACCTCGTTGGGCGACAGCAGACCGCCAGAATCCGAGCACTGTTCGGAGGGAAAGCTGGGGATGCTGTCGCTCGAATTCCCGCAGAAGAAGGGCCGTCTGGGTGTCGCCCCCATCATGAAGCTGAAGGGAATGAAGAGAGACGTAAACATTCGGGTTACTTGTCTTTGACTCTTACAGTTAGTATCCCTCTTCCTTCTCCTCCGTTCCTCTTTTATTTCCTTTTCTCCTCACTTCCTCCCTTCTTCCTTCTCGTTCTTTTTTCCCTCCACATCTTCCTTGTATTCTTCCAAGGACTTGTCCTCAATATCTTTACATAACATCAAGTCTAAACCTTAGATACAATACATATCATGCTTAAATTTATCCACAGCCTTACCTGAACTGTAACGTGAGGTTGGTGTGTGGCATGAACCTGGAAATGGGGAGCATGTACGTGTAATTGGTGGCGTTGTTCATCAAGCAATCCTGGTAGAACTCGGAGGAATTGAAGCAGTACAGGTGGTTAATGCTTGTGTTTAACTCGACGATCATAACGGAGGGGATCTGTATGTTTACCCCTGTAGAGAAAAAAAAACGTTTACATTATCCTTATTGAGTCTTCATCTCCTTATTTCGAAGAAGTGATAACTATATGATTATTCGACTTTGAAAGAGGATACGGTATTCGGTCCTTACTTTTATCTGTCACTACAACGATATCAACAAGAGGTCAAAATGACCGCTCGAAAACTCACTTGTCTGCGGCTTGAAATGGTCCCTGGTGCTTGCGGTGGATCTCTTGGTGTGGATGGAACGCTTGCTGAGGGTCTGCTTGATGCTACGGAAGTTGGTTGGGCGACTCATCATGCGTGCTTGATACCGGGAATGCCTGGAGTACTGGTCCATGGAGGCAGACTTCTTGCTTGGAACAGGCTGGAGGGTAAAGTTAAGAGGTATTAGCGCGTGGCACGAGGAAATAAGATTTTTTAAAGAATGTTTTTTTTGTAGTACCAGTTACAACGGCAAAATAATTTTATCTTATCTCCGATCAACCTACTTTGAGTCGTTGTGTCTCTGCCTGTGTAGTAGAATCGTTAACGGTGTTGGGGTCGCTGGTGAAAGTATTGTGATGAGTTCGCTGTACCGAGACATGGTGGGCAAAACCGTCGTTGTGCCTGAAAGTCATGGAATAATATGTGTAAGTTAAAGACATTCGATTCCTTAAATATACGTAAGGGGAAATATGATATTTTCATAATGATGTGTAGTTTAGCAAATCTATAAGTTAAAAATATTCGGTATTTTCTTAAAAGATACGTAAAAATAAAATATATTAAGATGTTATCAGTTTAGAAAATTTATAATCTTTTGATTGTCAGTTCCTTGAACTACATATCGCTCTATAATAAAAAGCATAATCATTTTTTTTTTTCATCCAAAACTAACCATGCGGGCGTCGTCGCGTGATGGTGATGGCGGCAGCAGCTGTCGTGGGGCTCGGACCAAGCATCGGCTCCTCCACGGGGCAGCAGAACACCTACAAGAACACGATTCATAAGCTCGAGGCAATTTTCCTTCTCCCTTATATCATGCCCGAAGTCTCTCCAAAACTACCCGGTAATTTCTTTTGCTCGGGTATTCCCCTACTGACAAATACGATTCGGCAGCATATTCAATAGAAAGCAAAATGATGTTCACGAATTCAACCACATATGAGGAGCCTACCTGGCACGTCGGCCCGTCGTCGTAACATCCATCCGGTTTGCCGATGACGGGCGGCAGCGGGTAGACCGGCATCCTCGTGGTGGTCGTCGTGAAAGGCTTCGTCGTGAACCAGGTGGAGGTGAGGGACCCGTCGTCTGTCGAAGTCGTCCTCGTCGTGGAGGGAGGCCGGAACGTTGGCGTTATCATGGAGGATGACAGGAATATGGTCGTAGCCGTGGTCGTGCTGCGGAGAGAAGAAAAATAACAGGGGTGTCATTTACGAAGCGTAAACAACGATTCACAGTGAAAGGAAATCAGTTCAACTACAACACAGTTTCGGGATCGGATCCACTTACGGGGTCGGGACGGGGGTCGCGTTCTTCCGGCGGTCTTGGTAGTCGAGGATGAAGATCGTCGCCATGGCCATTAGACTGAAAAAAGAACACCGATGAACAACAGATTATAATAACACACAAACATTGCTAAACCAACCATCAAAGGACAATAACCATCACTCCAAAAAATCATAAATAAACAAACATAAAACAAATAAATGATAAAATTAAATCATTTAAAACTATTCTCTGACTCACCACAAAGCCATAATGCACACGAGGGTGATTGTGGTGACCTGCAAGGACTTGTTGTTGCAGAACCCGTCGTCATGGCCGCCTCCTAGGTGCTTGTGCCGCCGCCGGGAGCAACCTCGTCCCCGCTGACTCACAGAGGACACGCGCGAGGTAGCTTTGAGGAGGAAGATTAGGATTAGGATAAGGATTACGATTAGGATTCTGTCATTTTGATTCTTATGGCGGTTTATCGTGGATTGGTGATTGGGAGGTTTGTGATGGCGGAAATACTGATGATTGTGGTAAAATGGTTATCTTTTTTTGCCATATTCTATGATAATAATGCTTGTCTAATACTGTAAACCTATACTAATGCTGATGCTAAGGCTAATGCTATTGTATTTGGGAATGTAAATTTTAATGCTAATAATACCAACAATAAATATAATAACAATAACAATAATGATAAATTCATGATAACGAAATAATAATAACAGCATTACCCTTAAGAAAATAAATAATAATAATAATAATAATAATAATAGCAAGGATAAATGCCCTGAACAACAACATCAAACCTCCAGGATGATAACATCAACACAAAAAAATGAATTAAACCTACAGGATGATAATATCAACATAAAACAAAAACAAACAAAAATAATGTAAAAAAAAAAAACGCAAAAGAACAGCAGAAGGACGAGATGCGCACCAGAGGTTCGCGTGGAGATGGAGGAGGTGGTCGACTTGAACGATTCGAACCGCCTGAGTTGCGAGATCTTCTGGTTCATTCTCTCGAGTTCGCCGATGCGGTTCTCCAGGTTGCCGGTCACTTTGCACAGCTCTTTCACGGCGCCGACGTTTTCCATGAAGATCCGTTCCTGACGGGGCAAGGGGAAATATAATTTGTTTCTTCTCTTACTCTCACTGTTTGTCTGTCTGTTTGTGTGTGTTTTTTTTTGTGTGTAAGTGTGTGTCTGTGTATGTGTGTGAGGGGGGGAGGGGGGGGGTGCGTGTATACGTGCGTGCGTGCGTGTGTCCGTAAGTACGTGCGTGTGTACGTGCGTGTGTGCGTGCGTGTGAGCAAGCGTGCGTGCGTGAATTGATCCCCATTAAATTCAAAATCAAAAACTTTAACGCTTTATAAAATAATAACATAAATCTTCACTGAACAGCATTTTTACTCTAAAAACAACACTGATGTTGAATAAACGATCAACTTGACGAACTGACACACAAAAACCAAAAAAATATATAATACAAACCAACCTAAACGACCACCCTCAAAAGAAAGAAAATCAAACAAAAAGTCAAACGAAACTCACCTTATTGACCAAGAGAAAGTTGTCGATCTTCTCGCCGTTGGAAAGTGTGACGTCACCCGTTGTTTTTACGGCGTCGGGTATGACCTCTTTCACCTGTTACGGAAAAAAAATATGAATCGTCAACCGTGAACATTAAATGATAGCGCGACGGATAGATAGATAGATTAGATAGATAGACTAATAGATAGAAAGTTGGATAGTTAGGTAGGTAAGTTGGTAGGAAGGTAGAAAGTGGGGATGGGAGAGAGAGAGAGGGAGAGAGAGAGAGGAGGGAGAGGAGGGAGAGAGGAGGGAGAGAGGAGGGAGAGAGGAGGGAGAGAGAGAGGAGGGAGAGGAGAGGAGAGAGAGAGAGAGAGAGAGAGAGAGAGAGAGAGAGAGAGAGAGAGAGAGAGAGAGAGAGAGAGAGAGAGAGAGAGAGAGAGAGAGAGAGAGGAGAGAGCGAGAGAGAGAAGAGAGAGAGAGAGAGAGAGAGAGAGAGAGAGAGAGAGAGAGAGAGAGAGAGAGAGAGAGAGAGAGAGAGAGAGAGAGAGAGAGAGAGAGAGAGAGAGAGAGAGAGAGAGAGAGAGAGAGAGAGAGAGAGAGAGAGAGAGAGAGAGAGAGAGAGAGAGAGAGAGAGAGAGAGAGAGAGAGAGAGAGAGAGAGAGAATAGTTATCCAGATATATAAACAGATAAACACAGGAATAAGGCTCCCCCATTCTTATGCCTTAATAGCACTGATGATGCGGATGAACAAACAATGTAAAATAAATAAAAAAAGGAAAAAAACGGAGGACAGTGGAATGAGAGATGTGGCACAAAACAGAAGGAATAAAAAAGAAGACGCAATGAAGAAGAAATGCGAGGAAAGACAAATGAAAGAACATAATCAACAAGGAATGAATATAAGAAAAAATACAATAACAAAATCGACAAAAAAGAAGAAAAAGTGAGATACAACAAAAACGCACTTGAAGATGGGGAAAACAAGTTAGACCATACACACACAAAAGAGAAAGAAAAAATAAGAAACTCAACGTCATTTCCATGAAATCAAAGACAAAAAATGAACAAATGAACACGAAAACAAACAAAGAAAAGGGCGAACTGACCTCCTGCGCAATCACGCCCGTATCGTACACGTCGTCCCCTCTCATCCCGACCTGCTCCGCGAACTCCTCCTTGTAGGCGTACTTCACCACGCGGAGGTTCTGCACGTTCTTCAGCTGCTCCTTCGTGTCCACCTGGGGATGGAGCATCGTCGATGGTTAATAGTCTGTTATTGTTGTTGTTGGTTATTATTGTTTCTATTTATGCTTGTGTCTTTGTCTCTCGTCTGTCCTTTTCATGTTATTCATCTCTCTCTCTCTCTCTCTCTCTCTCTCTCTCTCTCTCTCTCTCTCTCTCTCTCTCTCTCTCTCTCACTCACTCACTCACTCACCCACTCTCTCTCTCTCTCTCTCTCTCTCTCTCTCTCTCTCTCTCTCTCCTCTCTCTCTCTCTCTCTCTCTCTCTCTTCTCTCTCTCTCTCTCTCTCTCTCTCTCTCTCTCTCTCTCTCACCTCAGCTACATCCTTCTTGGCTCGTTTGTCAGAAGGTTGAAGAAATTGGCCGGTGATCTTGAGGTTTCCGTGTATGACCAGGGCTTCGTCAGGTCGATCCGTGTTAACGCCCACGCGCCCCATGTGGTAGATGGATTCTGGCAACGTCCCGCGCTGGAAGGTGTATTCCACGTCGCTCTCGAATTGCCCGGGGTTGGAGGCCTACAAAAGGAAAAGATGGCGTGAAGGTATCTAAATGTAAGAATGTTTTTAGTGCTAGTCAGTGTCACTTATTTTCTTCCTATCTTGTTCCTTATATATACTTTTTTGCCTTATGGTAATGATTCTTAATTCAGAGTTATTCTATGTCATTGTAATAATGATCTGACCTCTTCGTATAGAAGATATTGTGTAATATTATAATTATGAGGATAATCACTGACCCCCTCCCTTGTACATCAGCCTACACGATCCCTTACCCTGACGATGATCTTCTCGGACGCATGCGCGGCGATGATGTAGGCGTTGTCCCCGCAGTGGGCCTTCAGCGCCACCACCAGGTAGAAATAGCGCTGGTCGGGGTTTGGCTTGCCTTTCTTTCTCATGTTGTTGCTCGTGGTCTCGGAGAAGTGGAGGCGCCCTACCGTGATCTTGCTCATGTGATCTTGCTTGAGGTCCACGCTATAAGAAGAGAACGGATCTTTTAGCAGCTGGTAGGTACGATTTTGGGACAATTTTAATTAATGACCACATATATTACATATATTTTAGTCACAATCAATTTGTTTTTGTCTGTATCCTGCTTCCTAATTCTATTATTCATGGTACATTTAAACAGCAACAATCTAGATAATAAGAGCAAACAGTTGCTATTATAACTATAAACAAGTACTGATCCACTGCTTACGGGACAGGATGGAAGGCCTTTTTGCTGCGGTCGCTCTGGCTCTGCTCAACGCGGATACTCTGAGAAGGGGATTCGGTCTTGACGCCGAAGAAGTGGACGAAGAATTGGTCGATCTTCTGCAAGCCGTCGGGGCTCTTGACGAAAACGGGTTCTCCACCAGAAACCTTTTGGAGGAATGTCGTAGTTTACTATAGCGTTACTTGTTGACAATATACGTCATGTTTTTTTCTAATTACTATAAGCGTGTATCAAGTATAATTGCTTTTGGTTTAACTGACCTGGACGTGGACGGTAACTTGGAAGTGATTTTTCTTCTGGCAAACGAAAGCTTCGTCCGGGTTGGAGAAGTTGAAACCTTTGTCAGCATCCACCCGGAATGTCGTCAGCGGTCTGTTAAGTTTTAAAAAAACGCGCCATTAGATCATTTTCATTCCATATTCACTAATGATCCAGTATACCACTTCTAAAATATCGCATTAAATACGATGAGTACTTCGAATCTTACATTTCTTTGAGTCCGGCATCACACATGAGGCTCCAGGAATGCTGCTGGAAGTTCTGGAACCGGATGCACTGGTAGGACCCATCAAGGAAGGGCCCGCCGGAGGAGTCCATGGTGTACTCATCCTCCTCAGTGTAGGAGGTGACGGCCACGTTAGGACCCAGGTGGCTGGTAACTCCTACTTGGTCTGTGGGTCGTGGTGAGAGGTTAGTCGAGAGTGCACAGTGTGTTTAGGCGGCGAAGGAGTGGTGAGTGTTGAGAGTTCCCAAGTGGCAGAGGGTGCAACTAAGGGGACGAAAAGATTGAGAAAAGGGTGCATACAGGCAGTAATCTGTAAGGAGGTAACCAGAATTTGGACCGAGAGATGGCTACCAGGGTGTTGAAAGGCCTTTGCAAGACGTGAATATAAACGACAACCTATGTTCACTGCCAGGACAGATGGATTTGGAAGAGCGACTGTCAGACAGCTAGATGGGAAGTAACTGGACATCGGTTGATGCTGCTGAGCTGGCAAAAGGAGTCTCAAGAATGTCTATTCATCGATCACCTTCGAGGATATTATCTTAAAAATAAAATATGTAACGTGGGAATATTGTCACATCATAATAATCTGTTATGTACATCTGATCTGACACTTTCATCATAAGTCTATACTATAACAAGAGAAACAGTCATGTCAAAAGGATATAAATCCATAAAATGAAAAAAAAAAGCAAGGAAACCTAATTTCGAAAAAAATCCCTGCGTACGAGTAAGCCACAAGGAAGAAGGTTCCAATTAGTATCGGGAGGCGAGGCGTCACTGCGCGCGAATACCGCTATCATTACTGTGACGAACGGCCCGAAACCGCCGCCTTCCTGTCGAGTCCTCGTACGCTAGCGGCTATTTCGGTGAACGGCGGGAAGTGAGCGCGAACGTACTTTACAATGCATATGCAGAGAATAGTAATTACCCCCATAAGCACCTGTTCTCGGGTTACTTTATCATGCATAACGCAGTCCAAAAAGATGGGATACGACGCGGCAAAATGCGCATTATATAGATCCAGAAAAAAGGGAGTTGGGAGAGAGAACCCCGAACTCCTGCGTTTGGAAGTTCAACACCAGGCGAGGTTTCTCTCTTAATACCTAAATAGGAGGGCGGCTCGGGTAATGCTAATATCGCGAGCGTTTTTAATTCCGGATGGACGTGTGAACTGGTGTAAATTCTGTGAATTATGGACGCGTCTTGGCAAGGGATGAGAGTCATTTGTTGCTCCGCCTTGTGATCAGCGGCGACTGACCACAAAAGCACGAGAATTACGAGGTGCGAAGTTTTAAGTCCCCTGTCGTGCAAATTATCTTCGGCGGATGAATCGTGCGCGAGATTATAATACAGTAAAGAAAAGAACAAAAAAGAGAGCTTTATATATATATTTTGGTTCCTTCTTCGTTTTCTCCAAGATTTTAAACATTGTCCACATGGGGTCAACCTACCTGGCTCTTGCTTGATGTTGACCATGGAGGACAGGCCGCCCGTGTCATTCATCTTGCGCTTCTTGCCGCCCGCGCCTGGAGCCACGCCGCCCGCCCCCCCGCCCGAGGACGGCCCCTGCGCGATGCCACCCTGCGACCCGTACACCGACGGCGCCGAAGGGGAGATCCCGCCTGAACCCGACAGGTTCGAGCCGCCCATGAGCATCTGCTGCTGCTGCTGATAGCCGAGGTTCGTGGAGGGATGGGTCTGGAGGGGCGCGTGGGCGGGGTTGGGCTGGTGCGGGAGGGCCTGGGGCGCCTGCAGGATCTGGTACGGGAAGGACATCATGGTCTCCCCGTTGCCGCCGGCCGGGCTCGTGTACATGTCGGCCACGCCCGCCGCCTTCTGGTCTGTGCAACGGGAGGCGCAGGGCGTGAGACTCATGCCATCCACACACACTATAACATGCCTTAAGGCCAATACATAACAACGTCAATTTCCACGCCACAGGGTGAGGGCGTCGCTACTTACGAGGGGAAAGATTGGGCTGGTCAGGGGGGGAGTAGGGGGGCTCGGACCCTGAATCCGGCGGGCTGTCCGGCAGGTGGTGTCTGTGGGCGGGAAATCGGCGTTAGGAGGTGAAGTTGCTTATTCAAATACATGCAGCAACGTGTCTAATTTACTAAAACACATAATTCCCTATTAAGCTGCTAATTATTTAACGACGTGTAACGTGTAATTTGAATTACAAATGCACCTGTGTATCTCTCTCTCTCTCTCTCTCTCTCTCTCTCTCTCTCTCTCTCTCTCTCACACACACACACACACACACACACACACACACACACACACACACACACACACACACATATATATATATATATATATATATATATATATATAATATATATATATGTATATGTATATATGTATATGTATATATGTATGTATATATTATAATATATATATATATATATATATATATATATATATATGTGTATGTGTGTGTGTGTGTGTGTGTGTGTGTGTGTGTGTGTGTGTGTGTGTACATATATGTACATATGTACATATGTATATATATATATATATATATATATATATATATTATATATATATATATATGCATTTACACATATAGACACAGTGTGTGTGTGTATGTGTACATGATGTATATATATATGCATAGCTATATATGTGTGTATGTGTGTGTGCGTGTGTGCGTGTGGTGTGGGTGTGGTGTGTGTTGGGTGCGTGTGTGTGAGTCGTGTGCGTTTGGGTGCATGTACGTGCGTGTACGTGTGGTGTATAGGTGCGCGTGTGTGTGCGTGTGTATAGAGCGTCCGTGCGTGTGTGTGTGAGTGTATAGGAGCGTGTGCGGTGTGTGCGTGTATAGTGTGCTGTGTATGTAGTGTGCTGGCGAGTGTGTGAGCGTGCATGCCTGTGTCTCTGATGCACGTGTATGTATGAACGTGCACGCATCAACACACCACGCACGCAAAGACACAAACGCGTGCGCCCAGATCACACCGAGAGGAGAACCCACACGCCCTCTTAAACCAGAGGAAAGGCCCGAGAAGCGACCATGCAAGACCCACCGATAGCTACCGTAGGAAGAACTGTATCTGTGGTAAGGATTGGAGTAACCAATGGGCAAGGAAGCTCCGCCCTTCGGTCCCATCACGGCCATGCCCTCTGCGTCCCCATTGGCGGGAGCGGAGCCAGGGAGGCCGTAGGTCATGCTCGAAGGAGACGTGCCACTAGAACTAAGGGCAGGGTGGGTCACGAGGTCCTGGGTGCTGGAGTTGCTGTGTCAAGGCAAGAGCACTATGAGGCCAACTGTCAGCGAGGAGGGAATATAACGTCATGATCTTAAGATAGCCCAAACCACCAAGAAATAGAGGGTCTGTGAATAGAAACATACAATCTACGGGCATAATCCGGACAATACCTTTGAGATTTTCTTTTTTTAAAAGGGGGGGAAAAGCTAGCGTTTACGAGTCAAGTCAGGAAGATTCAAAATACAAGAGAGCACAAGAGATCTAAGTTAAGATATGAAATAAGATACAATTACCAACTTTAAGAAAGCACTAAAGACTACTGCAGTGGTTTATCATGAAGGAAAAAAAAAAACAGATATAAATGTGTTGATGACCTGGGGTACAATGTATTGTGATTGTGATGTGTGACAATAAAGACAATTCTCATTATCAGGTGTTATGGTGATGGGGTACGGCTGTTGAGGGGTGTGGTGACGTAGCACAAGTGAAAGGAGAGTTGCTTTCAAGCAGTGTTTATATGGAGAAACCTACTGTACACCTGATTATAAATGTCGATTTTAATTGAGCATGAAATCTCCACCTGCTTATACAAAATAAAAGTACATTTAGTAATATTTACACTTACCTGTTAGCTTTTGCTACTTGTTAGTTCTTAAACGATCCTTCACCTAATATAGTGAGAAATAAGTCAGGAGTAATCCAATTTTTTTCACTAAGAAGAAGTTTTAAAAGTTGACCAAAGAAGTAGACTGCCAATACCACAAAACCTGAAAACCTGTTTGCCTGGACTCTTAAGCACGCGGAGAGAAGGAAACCCCCGAAGGCACAGACCACACAGTGTTTTAGTAAGAGGTACATGACGGGCCGTCCCATAGCACCCCCACTGTAGCGAGATGGCTGGCGGAAGCGAAGTGGCTGGCCGGGGGGTCTCGAGGGAAGGAACTTACGAGGGTGATGTGAAGAGGAGGGAAGAGCGTGAGGAAGGAAGGAAGGGGTGGGGGGACTTACTGGTGGTGCAGGGCGGTGTGGTGGTGATGGTGGTGGTGGTGCAGGAGGCGGGATGGAGACTCCCTGGGCGTTTCCGAGATTTGTCTCCCAACACCCTGCAGGTCACCGAAGTACCTAGTGGGAGAACACCATGCGATACTTGACTCTTTCTACAGAACACGTTAAATCAGTTGGAAAATAAAACGCTATACTAAAGGCTGCAATACATATAATGTATAGCTTATTTCAATGATAAAAACAGTGAAATAAATGGTGGTATTTAATAAAACGAAAGAAACTCCACTATAATGAAAGACATAGTGCCAAGGTATGGAAGAACTATTTCATGTCGGTCATGAGCCAACGTTCTGCAATATCACATTTTAAGATATTGCAACTAATTAAAAATTGTGATTGAAATACTACAGCAAAACCGTGACCTTTCCAGCACAAGCAAAAGGAACATGAAATGCAAACTAATAAAATGGAATATAAAACAAACATTTCAAAACGAACGCACATCTGCACTGATATCCTAACACAATTCCAGAGAAAAAAACGCCACTGGACTTACATGGTGTCGTTGTTGTCATCGTTGATGTAGCTCTCCAGTTGGCTGATATCCAGACCTTCGTTGTCGATGCCTCCATCCCAGTCACGCTCTGGGGAACACAACCACATGCTATTAAACTCAAACCCACAACACATAATAACACACCTAAATAACTACCATAAAATCCAGAATTCATGTCTAATATCCAACCACATGGGCTACAATTAAACCCAAAAGGACTACAAATAATAACACCCACAATCTTAAATTCCAGATTCCACGTCCAGTTTAAAAGTACACTCTTTGCGTGGATTGTGAAAATAGCATTGCGAAGGCTCTGAGATGAAGCTTTTTTTTAACTATATATATCAGTAATGCCATGATCAAAGTACCTGATATGAATCAAAACGAAATACATTGGATAATAAATAAAAAAAATACGATACGGGAATATTTGGTACAAGATGCAAGTCACACAAAATAGGCCTAAGCTTATACTACGATTCGCTGCCGACATCACAAGGGAAATATTTCACATTTAAAACAGGAAAGTAAGCTCTTCGTTCGGTGTTATCAGGAAGTAGGCCGTTATCGTCACAGAAGCTCATCCCTATCGCAGGCTCTCACGCCCTGTTTCACCACCGATGCCCCTTCTTCCCGCGCCCTTCCAACTCTCGTCTGCTCTTAGGCTTCCACGCCCAGAAATTGCATCTAGGCTTATACTTGGTTTCTCGGGCACTCGTGTGTAAGCAGAGAGGAAAGCTGACGACCAAATGGAAAACGGTTGCGAGCCTGAGAAAAGGGGAGCGACTTCTGTCAACTGGTACTCAAACATTGCTTTTGAAAACTCTTTAATATACATACATATACATATGATACTATATTATTATATAATATTATATATATATAATATACTTATATGAGCAGGAGAGAGAGAGAGAAGAGAGGAAGAGAGAGAGATGAGAGATGAGAGAGGAGAGCAGAGAGAGAGAGAGAGAGAGAGAGAGAGAGAGAGAGAGAGAGAGAGAATCCTAACTTCCCGCGAGATACATTCAATATGATAAGGAAAACAAAAGCAGAAGGTAGTAATCATTCCTTTCACAAACATCCTATACCAAAGCCACACGAATTCGCCCTCACTCACACACACACACACACAAATACAAATAAAATATAAATATAATAAAAATAGATAATAAATAAAAATAAAAATAAGAATAATAAAAACTAAAGAAACAAAAAAGAAAGAAAGAAAGAAAAAAAGTTCAGAGTCCTAATAAAATCCATTGCAGGTGAGCGAAGAGGCGGCGGATGAAGAGGAGAGAGAGAGTGACGGCCTTTTCTCTCGTGCGCGTGCGAATATAAGATGGAGGTGCGGAAGAGTTGAGAGATTGATCGGCGTGACCGTGGCGGAGGGGGAGAGGGTCTGGGGCTGAAGGGGTGGAAAGGCGCTTGATGTGTTAGCGTCTGATCTGTCTGTCTGTCTTCTCTTCTGCTCTCCCTTCCCGCACATCATCCTCTCTCTGTCCCTTCCTTCCCTCTTCCTCCCTCCCTGCTCGTCTCTCTCTTTCTCTTTCCCCCTTTTCTCTCTCTCTCTCCCTGTCCCTGTCCTCTCCCTTCTCCCTCTCCTGTCATCTCTCCCTGTCCCTGTCCCTCCCTCCCTCTCACTCTCTCACTGTCCCTCTCCCCTCCTGTCACTCCCTCCTCTCTCTGTCTGTTTACACAGCACATATCTCACCCGACCGAGAGTACCGGAGAGGCGAGGGTACGCGATGGCACAGTCCACACAAAGGACTCTTACATTCGGACGATAATGCAGAGGAGGCAGGATAATACAACCTTCGTCATGTGTTCCTAAATGAAGAGCTTTTGTCCATACAGCTTCATTTCATATTCTTATTTTATTCCAGTGATAGATTGATGTATCCTTTTTTTTTAGCCAAGAGTAAAAATGATTTCGTCTTCGCTTTTTTACATAGTTCGGGGTTAATAGCAAATGGGGAGGACTAGCACCCTTAGATTCTCGGTCTCCCGTTATCCGTGAATATCTAAGCGGGGCTGATAGCTTATCTTGATAAACCTAAGGGTGATTTAATAATAAACATCCCAGCATTAAAGTCGTCGATCACAATACTTTCATAGGAGAATTGAATCTTGAGAGCAAAGCGTTAAGATTAGTTATTAATGAAGGTCGCACGGCCGATACAGCTATGACTATGACGTCTGTCATGAACCTATGTTGGGCATTTCCTATAATTCACGTAATTATGACCGATGCCAGAGACTGTCAAGAAGAAAATCGCCTTTACAGAATAAACTTCACTAATCTCGTGTTTACTCAGACACTGCTATTCTAAAAACTGGCAAGTCACCTTTGTAAACCCCAATTTGCACTCTGTTAAGAAATAACCGGCTCCATAACCTAATGCGAGTCGCTAAATGGTTTACAGAATACCATGGATATTAACTGCGACGACATAGCCAGCCGTGCAAGGCAAGGAAACCCAACCCTTACGGCGGGACTGTCGAAGACCCAAATCGGCGAGCGGGGGCGAACTGCAAGAATTAGGAAATGCTCCCGAAGTAACAATTTGATCAGAAACCGTTTCACACATGTACGTGAACCGTTTCGCGCTCACGCTCACGGGGAACAAAGGGTTCAGATCACTTTCTCCGTGCTGGTCGTCAGCCTCCTGTTCACGGTCCACCAGGCGGCTGTTTCGACTGTCACAGCTGCCACGGGGACTGATGCTGCCGGGGAAAAAGGGGCTGATGGCGCAGAAGAAAAAAATTGCGATGCTCGGAATATGATCGCCTCGGAATAGGTCCCAAAGGTATAGGTGAAGTCTGGGGAGAAAGGAGGGAATAAAGATAGGCGAGTGGAGGATGAGGATGAGAGCAACTGAATCTTACGAAGATAGGAAGAGCCATAGATTACCCCAACCATCAAGGGAAAAAAATGCAAGTTTCGGGAATAAAAGAACACCACAAAGCCTGAAGAAAATCCCATTCTTAATCGAGTATTTCACGGGGAAGAAAATGCACAGAAAACCAACTACGACAAGCCAATTTCCTTATCTTCAACAAGGTCGTTCGAAACCCAAGCACAAAGCGAAGATAACTCGCATTTGAGGAAATCATTGATACATATGGCTGTTCATAAAAAATAAAGCCCCTATACCGCTCATTTAGCTGTTCAAAACGATTTAGATTTTATTCTTATTGATATAGATATAGCTTTAAATAAAAAAGTCTTACTAGTGGAGTAAATTTAACTCTTAATACTGATACACGCGTGGCTCTTAAATGCACCAGAGAATTGGTTCTCAATGGAATTCGCATGAAGATAATGGTAAACTCAATGGAATTCGGATAAACACAATGCTACCTCTATATATACATACATACATATATATATATATATATATATATATATATATATATATATATATATATATGCATAAAGATAATGCTACCCTCACTGGAATTCGAATAAAAATAATGCTACCCCTTTGGAATTCGATAAAGATAATGCTACCCTCACTGGAATTCGGATAAAGATAATGCTACCTCACTGGAATTCGGATAAAGATAATGCTACCATCATTGGAATTCTAATAAAGTAATGATACCCTCACTGGAATTCAAATAAAAATAATGCTACATCTTTGGAATTCGGATAAAAACAATGCTACCCTCACTGGAATTCGGATAAAGATAATGCTACCATACGGAATTCCGTTGGCGAAGAGGAAGGCGGCGGCACACATGACGGTACAGGACAGTGACAGGCACCGAGATAATGTAGACGATGTTTGCAGTGGACATTTAAAAAAAATAATAACCTTATCATTCGTTTCAGGTGTTATGTCATTCCTGATCTGCTATGCGTCAACTTTTTCGAGAATTCCTCAGATTAATCGCAAAAATTATCATATGATAAGACCTGCCCATTCATTACTAATTAATATATGATTAATGGAGGAAGGCAGAGAGAAAGGCAGAGAGGGAGATACGAAGGGAGAAAGAGAGGGAGATAGGGAGAGAGGATGGGAGAAAGAGAGGGAGAGAGGATGGGCGAAAGAGGGAGAGAGGATGGGCGAAAGAGAGGGAGATGAGGATGAGAGAGGATGGAGAGAGGATGGAGAGAGGAGAGAGGGAGAGAGGGGAGAGAGGGAGAGAGGATGGAGAAAGAGAGGGAGAGAGGAGCGAAAGAGGGAGAGAGAGGAGAGAAGGAGAAAGGATGGGAGAGAGGGAGAGGGATGGGAGAAAGAGAGGGAGAGAGGATGGGAGAAAGAGGGAGAGAGGATGGGCGAAAGAGAGGGAGAGGGGATGGGAGAAAGAGAGGGAGAGAGGATGAGAGAGAGGGTGAGGGGATGAGAGAAAGCGAGGGTGAGAGGAAGGAAGAGAGGGTGAGAGAGAGAGAGAGAGAGAGAGAGAGAGAGAGAGAGAGAGAGAGAGAGAGAGAGAGAGAGAGAGAGAGAGAGAGAGAGAGAGAGAGAGAGAGAGAGAGAGAGAGAGAGAGAGAGAGAGGGAGAGAGAGCGAGAGAGAGAGGAAGGGAGGGAGAGAGGCGAGAGAGAGGGAGAGAGAGAGAGAGAGAGATGGAGGGTAGACACACACATACACACACACACACACACACACAACACACACACACACACACACACACACACACACACACACATATATATATATATATATATATATATATATATATATATATATATATATATAATATTAGGATAATCTTTAGGGTGAAGCTGAAAGCGTTTCCACGTGACATACGACTGTCGCAATCCCGAGAGCAGGTGTTGCAAACGGGTGCTGCAGCCTCACGTCTTTGCCGCTGAGAACGATTGACACGGAATGACGTCACTTCGATATACGTGCTTTAGAAAATCCGTAATCATTCATGCATGGAATTCTTGTGAAATAGTAAAAAAAAAAAAATGGCTCAACATGTCCGTGAATAACCCGACACTCGGCGAACTAATATGAAAAAGGTGTGCAGCAAGTGAAGAAAGCGGAGACTTGGGCTTCGCGAGACGTGATCCGAGAAAAAAGAGAAAGGAAGATAAAAAGTGTCACATATATTTAATAATAAAAAA